ACACCCCCCCCCCAGAAAAATACAACACAAACAACTTTTGAGGTCGGCAAAACCTTTTTGAGGAAGAGGATAGCAGAAATATAATGTGTTTAGCTTTCAGGTTTTCTCGCAACGAACTAAGCCATCCCAGGCAGAGCGCCGTAAGAACACATTTCATAATTCTGAAAACACACATATACACACAAACAAACAAACAACAAACAAACAAACAAACAACAACACACACATAAACGCATAGCCTGTTTTAAACTATGAATACATGCACATCTAAACAGGGGTGTACAGAAATTATGTAGATACGTCCGTTTGCCATCAACAATAGGATTAAGATTGTCACTTACAACACTTAAACCAAATTCCAAAACGTACTTTTACGAAAGTAAACATGCCGCCCTGGCCTCGATACAAGAAGGATATGGGCAAGGTGACCTGACATAACCGACTAAAAAACCTTTAAAACTCAATGGTTTTAGATGTAAAGCTACCATGGCGAGACTAAAGTGCTGCCCGCCTTGACTGCAGCCAATCTCTATATCACATGCGCCCTGTACTTCACTAGCGATAAAAATGTAAGTACAACATTGTTGATGTTGTTTTTATAACACGACTCTTTAGTATTACTAAAATGAAAGGAACAGCGTTCCTTTTTCTTAAATAACCAGTATATTATGCTTTTGGACATCAGAATCGCTCTATAGATATAGTTACCTCACCTGTTTTAGTTAGTTTTAGTTTTGTACGGGGTTTTACGGCGCTCGCAACTGCATAAGGTCATATGAGCGCACGAAACACAAGTTAGTTTTTCATTTGCGGTTCACTGCACGCTGGGCTCGGGTCATTTGATCTTAAAACGTTAAACAAATTAAAATTTGGTTTAAATATAATATAATTTCAATCTAAAACAACTTTAATAAAAAAAATGTAATAATTCAAATTTGTTCTACACTACAATTTTCCATCAAGGCCAATGGCCTTCATAAAATCCAAAATTCTGTTGGGACCAACGACGGAAAAAATGTCTTGCAATTTCTTGCATTTGAAGTATTTCCTTCGGATATCTCCGAAGTCTAGACATTCGGTTAGAATGTGTTTAATGGTAAAATATCCGACACAGAACGGCTCCTAATTTTTCTGAAGGAGGTATTTGTGTGTTAGGGCAATGATAGTACATAACAAGATGGGCCACTTCTCTCTTTGAGCCAATTAAAAAAGTGTCCTCAAAATTTGGTGGCGCCCTCTTCACAAAAGCGCACTCTTTGTGAACAGAGTTAACCTACTTGAGTTTTAAAAAATCAAAGTGAAACTAGCAAGTTTTGGGATACATTTCGGAAGAACGCTTTTTAAAAATGGTTACGCTGGCAAAAAACATCTTCCGGAGGAAAGGGTGATGGTTTTCTTCGTTTAATTTGACTTTAGAATGAAAGGCGAGAGGTCATTAACATTTTTTAAAACTAAAACTCCGCACTGAACGTACCCGAACTGCTGATGAACAGCAGTCGATCTGCGCACGCAAGGAGGTGCTATTCCTATTCTTCTTCTGGAAAAACGAAAGAGAGCTTCAAAACAGACTGCAGCGCCATCTGAAGCAAAGAGCATACTTCCTGCGGACACTTTTTTGGCTGAGTGGCCCATCTTGTTATTCACTATCTTTGGTTAGGGCCGTGTGTCCGAAGCGTAATCGAGTAAAAATGACTTCGTCTCTTCTGGAGAGGTCCAAAGGATTTCGCGGTCCCAGTTTGGGTTTAGTATTATAGAGTTTATTACTCGTCTGTTTTTTCAGTGGCTCTCCCAATGACTGGAGGTGTACTTTTTGACTTTATTTTTAAAGTCAGTCTGTCGGAGAGTGATATTTTCCCCTGTTTCAGATAAGGTGTGAATTTTCTGTTGTAGCCTAACTATTTTGGGGTGTAGGAGCTTGTAGTTTGCGAGTGAGGTGATGCAAGACAGAGAGTCAGAAGGGATAAGGAAAGATTTGTTAGGAGAATTTTCTACGGAGTCCAGTACCATGTCAATGGCAGCGGCCTCCACAGAGAAAAAGGAGGCTTCAGGATGTAGTCTCCTCTGGTGTGTACTGTTGGAAGATAGGGCTGCAGTGCCCACATCATTGTCTTTTTTGGAGCCATCCGTGAAGATGAGCTCCGCACCGGGGTATTTTTCTATTAGTTTTTTGTATTCTGCTTTAAAAGTTTTGGTGTTTGTGCTTTCTTTGTTGTGTGTTGTCAGCTGTAAATCTACTTTTGACTTGGTAAGGTGCCACGGAGGGAGGTCGGGGAAAATAATTAGTTGGATGTCTTGTTTGGAAAAGTGTAAGTTTTGAGGTCCTCAAGGATTCTGGGGCCGAAGGGTTTGATGAGTTTTTCGTTGTTTTGGAATTTGTTTATTGTTTCTGGGTTTGTTTAAAAGTGCAGTTATGCGCTGGATTCTCTGGTGTTGAACTCTGTTTAATTGCGTATTGTAGTGAGAGTTGTGTGCGTCTGAGTGTGAGTGATGGTATGTTTGCCTCGGCCTGGAGGCTCTCCACCGTGAAGTTCGGAAAGCCGAAAGAGCGAGGCGGGGTCCTTGGTTTTGTACTGGTTCTAGTAGCATTTTCAGGATGTGTGGTTTTGCCGATCCGTAGACTTGACAGCCGTAGTCAAGCCTGGACCGGACAAGGGAGATGTACAAATGGAGAAGGTGTTTTGAGTCCCCGCCCCACTCCGGATACGAGAGAATTTTCAAAGCGTTTAACGCTTTCTGGCACCTCACACGAAGGTCTTTGATGTGTGGTATGAATGTGAGTTTTTTGTTGAATATAACGCCGAGGAAACGAGCCTGGTGCTGGACAGGAATCCTTTCCCTGTATAGTGTCAAATCCGGCTGCAGCACACGTCTGCCTGTTCGGTAGAAGTGTACTGCAACCGTCTTTGACGGGGAGAACTTGAAACCCTTATTGTTTGCCCACTATTCGAGTTTGTACAGGTTTGCAGCTGCCTTTCCATGGATCTCAGATGAGGATTTTTCGAACGGCAGCATATAAAAAAGTCGTCAACGTATAACGAGCTGTCTATGCTTTTTTGGAGGTTTTTTTTCCTATGGAATCTATTTTGATTTCAAATAGGAAAGGAGAAAGGATGCTCCCCTGGGGGATTCCTTCCTCCTGTTGGTGAGGGTCTGAAAGGGAGGATCCGACACAAACCTGGAAGGAACGGTTCTTCAGGAAGTTGCCAATGAAGGCAGGGAGGTGACCGAGTATGCTGAGTGCGTACAGGTCTCTGAAAATGCCGTGCTTCCAGGTTCTGTGGAAGACTTTTTCTAGGTCGAAAATGATGGCGATCATGTGGCCTCCTTCAGCGAACATCTCGCGTATAAAGGTCTCCAGGTGGACCAGGGGATCCAGAGTGGATCCAGTTTTCCTGAATCCGCACTGGAATCCGCTCAGCGAGCCCGTTGTCTCCAGAAACCAGATGAGTCGCATGTGAATCATTATAAGTTTGCACAGACAGCTTGTTAGTACTGTTGGTCTGTAATTGGATGGGTGTGTGTTTGGGTATTGGAAAAGACAGTGGCGAGACCTGTTTTATGGACAAGACATTAAAATTTGTCTCAAAACAGTGGGAGAGAACATTTATGGTTTTCCAAAAATAAGAGACACTCAGATGCAGTCTCAGCATCACTATACCATTATATTATGGATTTGGAAACAATCGACTTTGCGAAAGTTACCCCGTGTGCACGCCAGATAAGGCTACAAGTCATGTTGCCGGGTTTGACGTGTTGAGTGAGATTACAGACAATATTTTTGAAGAAGTGTAAATAGCAGGCTTTTGGGGAAAGGGGTTTCGTGCCTTTTTTTAAAGAAATAGTTTGGTTTTTTTTAGGGGCGAGGGTTCTACTATAGGTGTCCCCCCCCCCCCCACACACACGCACCCTCTTCGAAGTACATGTAAGTTAATTAATCAAATTGGTAGACGAACTTAAACATTTCCTATTATGGCCAACCAGGTTTGATAGGGATACATCGTCCCAGACGAAAGACCGAGATGCTCGATGAAGTATCTTCTCACACGAGAATCTAACAGAAGTATTCTGTCTGCTGTGGCGATACAGCTAACTGTTAAACCACAGACGTGGGTGAGGTTAACACGGGAGAGGTGAAAAAACGCTTCGTTTTGATGACGTCATTTAAATGTGTCACGAAGTGATGGAATCAGGCGCTCGAACATTTTCGGAGATAATGTGGAGTTATTGGTATAATCTTAAAGATTGTTCATTTATTTGTCCTGCCTTTGATTTAAAAAAAAGATACCAATTTATCTTGAAGATATTTTCGATTGAAGAAAGCGGGGGGGGGGGGGGGGGGGGGGGGGATGTCGCCTTGTATTAAAGGTAGAATTATCGGGAAGATGGCCACTAAAGTTTGGTGACTTCCAAAGCTTGACTGTTCAGGGAAGCTACAATAAATTTACACATTTGGTGCTTCTGATCAAAGCATTTCAGATAATTCAACGAAAACAACAACAACAACAAAACAATGCGTTATTAAAGGGGCATACAGGGTTGCTGAGCCATAAATCGAAAAATTGATAAAAATTGCCCAACGGTATGTAAAATACCAGTATCTTTGACTTAATTATTGTGACGAGAACCTGGTTTCACCACAATTAATGCCTCACAAATGACAGGGCTGTTTGTTCACTGGCAAAACAATAGTGTATTGTTCTCAGTCCCCTCTCGCCTTCTACTGAAGGGTTCGTTTCCTCTGCATGAGATGTGTACAGGAAAGTATGTTATGCGTTCATGATTCAGACTGAAAATCGTGATTTTAGAACCAACAAAGCTCAGTCATAAATGAAACTAGAAATGTTTAAAATCTGCTGGGTAAATGAAAAATGACTTTTGCGTCCATTATCTGGATAGATCTTGCAGTGTCATGTACCGAAACCGCATATTTTGAAATAACCTCACATTTAATTTCTCCATTGTCTTCACTTGCGGGTTTTGTCTTTTCTTTTTTCTTTTTTTCTTTTTGTTTTTGTTGTTGTTATTTTTCTTTTGCTCTTTGTTTTTTTTCTTTTTTCAAATTGTCATATTGACATAATCATCAGCTTTCTGTCTCTATTGACAAATCCGAACCCTCAATTGTCAGTGACAATAGCCCTGTGAAACTGTCTTTTCACTGCGTCCTTTAGGACATACTTGCTCGTAATAAATTATACGAAAACAAAATAATCAAATCAAAAGAACCAGCATTTCATGGAGTATTGGACAATTTTTACTGATTTTTTAAAAACTATAGCTTAACCCCATTTATGAACAGTTGATAAAAGACACACAATTTGTAAATTTGCAATTTCCAAAGACTCTCAAGCTTTCAAATTTACCAAACTTTAGGCATCCATTTTATCATAAAACTTCACGTTTGAAACCATAGGAAGCACACCTCCTCCAATATTAAACACCTCGACTTCGATTCAAGAGAGATGAGTATTTTATTTGTCAAAAGCAAGCCAAACGAACTAGCTTCAAGATGAAACCAATACCTCCATATTATTCCAAAAATTGGGGGCTCTCGTGGCCTAGAGGTTAAGGT